GAAACCAAAACCAAATCTAGAGCAAGACCTTACTCTCTTCAATTCTGTGGAGGTTAAAAGAGATGAAGAAGCTGCAGAAATAAAAGTGAGAAGCTAGAAGAGGTTGGTTCATGAGGTTTAAGGAAAAAAGCCATTTCCAAATTATAAAAGTGCCAGGTAAAACAGCAAGTGCTGATGTAGAAGCTGTAGCAAGTTATCCAGAAGATCTAGGTCAGATAATTCATGAAGGTGGCTACAATAAAAAACAGATTTTTAATGGAAATGAAACCATCTTATATTGAAAGAAGAGGTCCTAAAGGACTTTGTGAAATTCTATTGCCTTTTTCTTTTCATGTATATTTGTGTTGTTCTCTCTCATTTTTCAGTTTGGGTAAGTAAAGAATCAATGAGTAACAATGAGACCTCTGCTGTGTTCTTGTAATTGGTATAGTTTTTTGGGGGTGAGAATATGTGAGGAGAATATATATTTCTTCTTCTTTTTTTTTATTCTTCTTTTATTTCTTTAAACACTCTCCATACATTTATTTTATGCCCTACATTTAATAATTCTAAACTCTGAAGTTCTGAATCTTATTCTCCTGTTTAGGAAAGAGAGGGCAGCCAATAAAAAGTACATTATCTCATTTTGTGGTTGCATTCCCCCCCCTGTGTTTTGTAACTTTGGAATATGAACTCATAATTATGTGACTTTGTGTCTGAGAACTGGGTTATAGAAACCTGGTGAAGGATCATCATTTTCCATTATGATAGCTAACCTGAGTCTTTACTCACTGCTATGGACTGAATATGTCCTCCAAAATTCATATGTTGGAATGTAATCTCCAATGTGATGGTATTTGGAGACGAAAGCTTTGTGAGGGAATTTTGTCATGAGGGTGGTGCTTTTGATCAGTACCCTTACAAAAGGAGACCCAAGAGAGCTTGCTTTATGTCTTTCTCTCCCCTTCTGGCCCTGCCATATAAGAATACAGTAAGAAGGCAGCTGTCCATAAGCCAGGAAGTGGGCTTTCACCGGACACCATATCTGCTGCTGATTTGATCTTATACTACGCAGCCTCTAGAACTGTGAGGAAAAAAAAAAAAAATGTTTGTTATCTAAGCCACCCTATGGTGGTTTTGTTGCAGGAGGCAAAACTAAGATGCTTGTTTACACTTGATTTAGTTATATAAGGCAAGCCATACCCTCTTTGGCTGCCCTTTCATCTTATCCCAGGTTAAGGTTTACTTAACTTTTTTCACAAATCCTTTATGTCAGAGCCTCTTCATTGTCATTCTGGCCTTGCTAGTATTTATGGTTATCTACTTTCCTGTGACTGTTAAGTGCTGTCACCTTGTCTTGGTACTACAGAATCGTATCACCTTCTCTATGGCCAGCACCACTATACCACAGATGGTGTGCATCTCCTTAGTTAGTGTGCATGGATAAGAGTACTCACTTTATTCTGCTGAATAGGGACACAACCCTGAACACTTCAGGGTACTTCCCTAGTGTAAATAAATGGAAGACTTTCAGAATTCTGTCTGTTTTTGTGGATTTAAAAGAAGACACACAATCTTAAGACTTCTACCCCGAGAAGGAGCCAGAGGGAATGAAGAAGGAATGCATCTTTAGGAAAGGTCTTAGAAACCTACCAGAATCACTAGCTGGGCTGACAGTTGAAGACCTTTTTTTTCCTGAAGCCAGTCAGTAAAGACGGAAGGAAGTGACAGCTTCCACAAATGTGAAGACCCTAGCAATGCAAAAGTCCAAAAAATTAAAGAAAGATGTCATCACCGAAAAAAAAAAAACCCTCCAGGGTCTGATAATAAAGAAATGGATATCTGCATGTCTGACAAAGAAATCAAAAACAGTCTATGTAAGGAAGCTCAGTGAGCTATAAGAAAACACAGATAGACAACAAAACAAAATCTGGAAAACAGTACATGAACAAAACAAAGTTTCAAGAAAATGATAGAAGTCATGAGAAGAAACAAACACAAATTCTGGGGCTGAATAATGCAATGACTTCATTGAAAAATTTAATATAGTTTCAACAGCAAATTCATCAAGCAGAAGAAAGAATCAGTGAATGTAAAGACATAATTTGAAATCATCTAGTCAGAGATAGAAAAGCAAGAACAAAATAATGCGTGGTGAAATTCTATGGGTCTTATGAAACACCAATAAACAAAATAATGTAAGCATTATGGGAGCCTCAAATGGACATAAAAAAGAATGGAGCAGACATCTAATTTAAAGTAATAATGAGAGACAACTTCATAAAACTTTGGGGGCAATGGGTATGGAGAATTAACATCAAAATCCAGAAGCCCAAATACTTGACTAACCATAAAGGAATCTTCACTGAGATACATTATAATCAAATGGAAAAGAGAGACTTTTAAAGCAGGAGGGGATAGGTGACTCATCACATATAAAGTAGCCCCACAAAACTAGAAGATTTCTCAGCATAGACCTTACAGACTAGAGGAGTGGGATGATATAGTCAAAGAGCTGAAAGAAAAAGCCTGGCATGGAAGAATACTTTACTTGACAAACCAGAAATAAAGATGAGATAATAACTTTCCTGGAAAAATAAAAGCTGACAAAATTTGTCAGTACTAGACCTGCTTACAAGAAATTATAAAGGGAGGGCACCTAGGTGGCTCAGTTGTTTAAGTGTCCCAGGTTCCTGGGATCAAGCCAACGTTGGGGTCTCAGCTCAGTGGAGAGTCTGCTTCTCCCTCTCCCTCTGCCTGCTGCTTCTCTTGTTTGTGCTCTCTCTCAAAAAAATAAATAAAATCTTAAGAAAAGAAAAAATCCTAAAGGGAGCTCTTCAAGTTTAATGGCAGAATGCTAATGAAGACATATGAAAAATATGAAAAATAAAACACATTGTTAAAGGCAAATACATAGTTGAATTCAGAATAGTCTAATACTGTAACAGTGTTGTGTAAAGCACTTTTAACTCTAAAACAAATGTCAAAAAGAAAAGGATAAAAAATAATTATAGTTATAATAATCTGTTAGTGAATGCAAATTAGTATATCAATAAAATAAAAAGGGGAGAGAAGTAAAAACATTGAATATTGCATGTAATGAAATTAAGTTGTAAGCAGCTTAAAATAACCATAAGGTGTTTCATATAAGCTTTAGTAACCACACACACAAAAAAATATCTGATAGACACACTAAAGATATAGAAAAAGGAATCGAAGCATACTGCTATGAAAAACCAGCAAATCACAAAGGAACAGAAAGAGAGGAAGAAAGGAACAAAGGAACTTCAAAATAGTCAGAAAACAATGAACAAAATGACAATAGTATGTACTTACCTATCAGTTATCCTAATATAAATAGAAAAAATTCTCCAATCATATAGTATACAGTAACTGAATGGATAAAAAAATCAAGATTCAACAATATGCTACCTGTAAGAAACTGACTTTAGCTCTACGGATACAATAGTCTGATAGTGAAGGGGTGGAGAAAAGTGCTCCATGTTAATAAGAATAGCTATTCTTAATTTAGAGAAAATAGACTTTAAGTAAATAAAATGTAACTAATGGCAAAGAAGGTCACTATCTAATGGTGAAGGAGTGAATTCATCATAACACTTGTAAATATTTATGCATCCAACATCAGAGCACCTAAATATGTAGAGCAGATAGGAACAGAACTGAAGGAGAAATGGGCAACAATACAAAGTTGTAGGGAACTGTAATACCCCACACTGAAAAATGGATAGATCATTCGGACATTAAATCAGTAAGGAAACACTGCACTTGAACAACACTGTAGACCTGTAGTCCTGACAGAGATGTACAGAACATTTCTTCCAAACACAGCAGAACACTATCTTCTAAGCACACACAGAATATTCCAAAGGATATATCATAGCTTCAAAAGAAAGGTTTTTATAAAAATCACTTCAGTAAATAATTTCTCAGAACCCAGATTTGAAGTACATTAGGAGTACTTTGTCAGAAACTTTGTAGACCCTAAGTGAAGGAATGCATGTGGATCTCAGGAACTATGGAATTAGAAATGAGTGAGGTGAAGCGTATCATTATCTATCTTTCTGCTTCTTGTTCATTCTTCTCAAGATGGGCATATTAATCAGTTCCTCAGAGAAACAGAATAATAGGAGAAGGAGAGAGAGAGAGAGAAGAAGGAGGAGGGAGGAAGAATTGAGGGGGAGAGAGAGATATTTATTTTAAAGAATTGGCTCACATGATTGCAGAGCCTTGGCAAGTCCAGAATCTGCAGGGTGGGCCAGAGCTAGACACCCAGAGAGCACAGAAGTTTGAGTCTGAGGCAATATGCTATAGAACTCACTTTCCCAGGGGGTCACTCTTTTTTCACTTTGAATGAATGGACAAGGCCCACTCACTTATGGAGGGTAATTTACTTTTCTGAAAGTCTACTCATTTAAATGTTAATCTTATTTTAAAAATTACTTTCACAGAAACATCTAGAATATTGTTTAACTGAATACCTGGGAACCATGTCCAAGCCAGGCTGACACATAAAATTAGCAGTCACAGTAGGAAAAATGGGGGAAAAAAGGGAAGAATTATTCCTCTGAATCTGGTTCCAAATTTTCCTGAAAGTAACCTCATTTGTGCAGCTAGGTGAGGCCCACCACTGGATTAAACAACTTTAATCCTGGGGGTGGCATCAGGAGAAAGCCCAGCTCATGTGAGGTACCCACAATGGGCCAAACCAGTGGCTAGGAAAGAGGTGGAAACAGGGTTATCTTGGACAAAATGGTGATCAAGTGTGCAGCATAGTGTCCCATAGGCAGGAAATCATTGATTAAGAAGTTATAATGTAATTTTTAATTTCCACTTAATAATGGAATAACTTCTAATTTCTGTTTTGCAAAGCTTTTCATGGAATTCAGTTACAGTTAACTGATTTTCTATCATGGTGTCTGTAAGATTTGTGGATACATAGTGGTTTGTACTTTTAGGCACCTAAAATTGATTTCTTTTATTTTTCTCTAAATATTTTCTAGCTTCAACATATAGTTCATCTGTGAACAGAAAGCAGAGGATGCTTATACCTCCTGCAGAAAGTAATATGATTTTTAATTTTTTTCTCAGCAAAGCCAGTCATGGATGCATTATGAGTGTTTACGGGAGAGCTGGATCTTCTAGATTGGAGAATAATTGTAGGTTTCAGGGCCAACTTTTTACACTGAAGATGAGCAAAAGCAGTAACCTTCTTCATTTAATCCTCATAATTAGGTAAAACATAAGATCTGTAAACAAAGTTCACAGTTGGACTGTTTGGCAGTATATGTGTGACTGAATAGGAAGGAAGGAAGGAAGGTTGGCTTGTTGATTTTACTGACTTTGTGAATCTCCAAATAAAGAATAGCTTAAGAAAGTCCAGTTTGTTCAACCTGAATGCCATCTGATACTTTTTCTTTATGTTTGTCCAAAGGGGTACCCTTCAGTATAGGCATTTCATTCTGATACTACTGATTTATTGTCTCTGATCAAAACCTAGGAGGAGAAAAGCACATCACCAATTTTTCCACTTTCTGTGGAAGGAGCATGAGTTATAAGTCTAATAGTTTCTTAGACTGAAGGATTAGACTTAGATGACTTTGTCCTTTAATTTATATTGTGTTTTCTTATATTGTGTTTCTTATATTGTGTTTCAAGAAAACTCCTGAGGCTATTTTAAGCCCTTAAAATATTTTTCACACATATAATAAATATAGCTTATCTAATAATACGAATATAGGAGGAAAACAGGTTCATCTTTGGATTAGTTTTAATGTGTTATACACATTTTGTGCATGTTTAATTTTTTATGTAAGCCTAATATTTTGGAATAGGATGACCAACAAAGTCATGCTTTAGTACACTTTATATAATATGTTTTGGAAAATGTAACACTTGAAGGTTTGTCTGTTTTGTTTTTTTTTTTTTTTTAAGATTTTATTTATTTATTTGACAGACAGAGATCACAAGTAGGCAGAGAGGCAGGCAGAGAGAGAGAGGAGGAAGCAGGCTCCCCATAGAACAGAGAACCCGATGTGGAGCTGGATCCCAGGACCCTGGAATCATGACCTGAGCTGAAGGCAGAGGCTTAACCCATTGAGCCACCCAGGCACCCCCAACTTGAGGTTTTTTAATTAAGATTTTCTTTCATCATTCTCCTTGTGTGTGTGTCCAGGTAACACTTTTCTGTGCATACCTGTGGATACAAAGGCTGTGCTCCTTTGTCCTCCTGACATCCCCACAGCTTTGGTGGTAACATGGACAATAAGCCCCAGAGACCAGCCTCCCTGCACTAGAGCCTACAGGAGAGACAACAATGAGACCAGTGAAAGAAACTGTACTGATGCGAGAATATCCTGGAAGTCCAGACCTGATCAGAATCCTGCCCTTCAGATTGACCCCGTGGCCATCACTCATGACGGATATTACAGGTGTGAAGTGGCTGCAGCTGATGGGCATTTCGGTCATACACATTGCCTCCGTGTGTTAGGTAAGGAGCATGTCATATTGTGGTAAGTCACATAACCATATCTCGGATTGAATCAAATGTGTCTCTGTATTCCATACCCCATGTGTTAAGCCTGAAGCATTTTCCCCTGCGTCTCTGCAGTGCCCCCCAAGGTGACCCTGTTTCGAGGCAGCAATGGAACTATCATGTGCAGGGCAGCTGCAGGGAAGCCATCTGCACAGATCTTCTGGACCCCGGGGGGAGATTGTCACACTGAGGAAGAACCGCTGGGCAATGGTACAGTGACCGTCCAGAGTACATGCCACTGGGAGGGCCGCCAGGTGTCTACTGTGTCCTGCTCTGTCTCCCATGTGACTGGCAACAAGAATCTGTCCTTCAACTTGAACTTCAACTTGAACTTCAATTTGAATCAAGGTAATCACCTGGGTTTTTGTTTCTGTTTGTTTTTTTTTGTAGAGTAATGAACTTGATGCTTAGCATTTTCTTCCACAGATTATTAGTAACCAAGAACAAAGTAAGGAATCTTGTACTACTCATTTGAAGATATTCTCTAAAACTTAACTGGGTAATTAATTCCTTAGTATGCTAGGGAAATAATTCCTATTCCTTTATCAAATAAAAGAAATTAATTTAATAACTTCTTATCTCTACATTCTCTAAGTACCTTTTATTCTGGAAGCCACAAAAATTTTGTTAACTTAATATCTATTGATTTTTACTTCGAGATTAATATTCATATAAAATGGCAATAATTTTATATAATATAACAATACTGATTCTGTTCAGAGACAAGAACAATAATTATTCCCTTCTTGATTTTTATAGTTTATGTAGTATTCACCACTTTTTGTTAGTCTGAGTAGGAGACAAGTTTTTGCCCCCCTCTCCCTTGCATTCTGAAACTTATACATCATTTCATTTGCCAAATATTTGTTTATTGTTATTATGTGTTTGAAGCAATCATGTAAAGATGAAAAGAAAAGGTGCATGTCTTATATCATTCCAGGCTGTATAACCTGGTGATTAGGAGCAAAATCTTTGGTATAATATGGCTTCTCCTTTACCAGCTATGTGACTTGGAACAATATTTAATCTCTCTGTCTCATGGCTTTTTAAAAAATTGAAATATAACTGACATATAATAACAAATTAGTCTTAGATATACAACATAATGATTTGATATTTGTATATATTGCAAAATGATCACTACAATTAGTTTAGTGAATGTCTCATGATTTCTTCATTTGTTAAGGGGATGATAGAACCTACCTCACAGAGTTATCATAATAATTTAAAAGAAGAATATATTTACTTAACATGATAGCTATCACATAGTTGGTACTCAGTAAATTTTAGCTACTATATTTACTCTACTGACAAATGTTAGCTTCTATATTAATAAATATTAGCTATTATGCTTATTATGTTAATATGTATTAGCTATTATATTCATTATCATATTATTAAGATCATCATATCCTATTAATTATTGTTCATAACATCTCTCATATTAATTTTTTTTGCAACAGCTTTAGTGAGACCTAATTTATATACCTTACAATTCACCCATTTAAAGTGTATCACTTAGTGGTCTTTGGCACATTCAGAGCTGTGCAGCCATCACCACAATCAATTTTAGAATGTATTCATTACTCCAAAAAGAAGTCTATCCTTTAGCCAGGACTCTATAATCCCAGAAATCTTCCAGCTTTAGGTAGCCACTAATATACTTCCTGTCTATAGATTTTCCTATTTTGGACATTTCACATAAATGGAACCCTATAATATATGACTTTTGTTACTTGCTTCTTTCACTTGGGGTAATGTTTTCAAGCATCATCAATCTGTAGCATGTACTAATACATTCACTTCTAGTCATTATTTTCTATTATCAATTTCCCACCATCTCTACGTTCTTATTTTATACTTCTTGTCTCTAGACATATGCATTTATCTGCAGTCCCACCTGACTCTCCTTTCCATAGATGAAATATTCAACCTATACTCTATACTTGTTTTTCCCTTCCCATATCCTGAGAGACTTTGCTTCAGTAATTACCCTTGCTCTCCTTTGTTCAGTCTTTTTTATTCTACAGATCTTTTCCCTAAAGCTGATTATATGAATCTGCCTCTTTTCCTTCTGAGTTTAAAAGTAGATGCTATGTAGTAATACGTTATATGTTAATAAATTTTTTTTTTAAAAAGTAGATGCTGTGCATTCTTTAAACTCTTAGCTCTTGTCCTTCACTCATCCAAGATTTTTTAAAAAGAAAGATCTACCCTCACTGTCCCTTCTATGGCACCTCACATCCACTCCTTAACTCTCTTGCATCTCTCTGCACAAGAAATGTTCTAATGAAAAGCTAAAGATCTCTCAAATGCCAAGCAAAATATAAAATTTTAATTTGTAGTTACTAATTAGCCTTGTGATATTTGATGTGGTCTTTCCTCTCTTCTCACCTATTTTCCTCCCATAATCACTTGGTTCTCTTCTTAATCTTCAGTAAACTCTTAGTCTCCTTAAATAGTTTTCCATCTCTTCATTCCATGAAGGAAGGCATTTCTCTGAGTTCCATCTTAAATAGGAACTGAAAAGAAAATATTTTCTTTTCACATTTACCCCTATTTCTTGAAGGACCTCATCCATACATATGGTTGCAACCACTGCCTAATTCTTGATCCTCAAATCTCTATTTTTAGTCCAGATTTTCTCTCCTTGGCTATGCCATGATCAAAACCAATTTCCAACTGAATGGTTTCATATGCACTTGAATGTATCAAGGGCACCTCAACTTGCATATTCCTAAAAAGGAATTCCTCTTCTCTATCCCTTCATAAGCTCCATACTTGTATTTTGCTTTGATAAATGACTCAAGCCAGAAAATTAAAGATATCATACAATATCACTCTTTCCTATTTCCCATATTCAAAATTGGTCACTATGTTCTGTTGATTTTATCTTAATATTTTTTCTTAAATCTATACCTTTTTCTTTCCTTCATATTAGTTGAGCTTGTGGTCACCTCTCACCAGAATTATTACAATATTCTTGCAACAGGTCTCCTGGCCCCTAACTTACCTCCTTCCACTAAGGAGGTTTTCACCTACACTGTTACCACAATGATTTTCCTAAAATGAAAAACATGCCCTTCCCTACTTAAATGCTTGATCTGTCACTCTCCTTAGCCTCATGTCTTGCTAATCTTTAGCCTGTACCCCATGCGTGTGGACCTCTTTGGACTCCTCAAAAGTGTTTATCTTTCTTATTCTTCTGTACATGCAATTGTACATTGTACATGCAATTTCCACCTCTTCCCCAGGTACTTCTTTCCTCATCCTCTCTTCTTCCATTTGCTCAATTCCGATTTAAGTGTTGTTTTTTTTTTAAGATTTATTTATTCATTTGAGAGAGAGAGAGAGCTAGAATGAATAAGGTTGGGGGGAAGGCAGAGGGAGAGAGAGAATCCCTGCTGAGCACAGAGCCTATTGCAGGGCTTGATCTCACAACTCTGAGATCAGAACCTAAGCTGAAATCAAGAGTTGAACGATTAACTGACAGCCACCTAGGTGCCCCTCCTACTGAAGTTTTAAGGCTTAGAAACTGGGCTAATTTTTTTTTTCACCCTGCAGTTTGGTTAGTTGCTCCTACTTTGAGCTCATGTAATGCCTCATGCATGCCTCAGAGTACTTCATAGCACTGTAATTGTAACTTCTCTGACTCCCAGTGCAAGATAAACTCTTTGAGAGTCAGAACTATATTCTTCATTTCTATATCCAGGGTCTGATATAGAGCCTAACACACACAAATAGCTACAGAATTAGGTTCAGATCATCACAGACATCATCTCGATGTACCCCACTCTATGCTCTACCACATGTGATTTAAGTTAATGAGTTCTTCAAATTTTTGTTCAAATTGTTTCTTTCCCTTGGGAAGTTCTTCCTTCTTTTCTTAACCTATTTAATCCTGCTATTGGCAAGGCTCAGTTCAAATCCCACTTCACCCTAACCTCCCAGTTGGAGTTGTTTCGGTGTTCTTACTCCTGAAATGATTTATAATCTGTAATGATCACTGAGCAATGTTTGTTCTCTCATAAGTGATCTTTTCATTTGTATGGCTCTGATGGCTCCAGTTGGATTGTGAGTCTTTTGAGCTCAGGCTGAGACCATGACTTCTTCCCTGACAGTGCATAAGAAGGAGATTGTCTGACATACTTCTAGTTTAGTATTTAAGCAATTTATTTAACAGGGTGACATTGATGAGGGAGCAGGAGGCTGGCTGAAGACAAAGCAAAAGCTGGCACCTTGCACCCCCTCTCTACCCGCTCCCCTCGGTACTGTGTGTGACATTCCTCAGGCACCCCTGACTGCCATAAACGAGAAACAAATAGTTAACTTGCAGAGATCACAATCCTGCAAGACAGAGTCTCCCTTGGTTTACAAATGTCCTAGAGATCTACAAACAAAGAAGTTACCTTATCAATAGCACAATTTCCAGAGGCAAATAACTCAGTTCCTCAAGCCCTAAATAAAGTTAAATTTCTTCTAAACCCAAATCTCACTAACAAAGACGCTTGATAGCAGAAATGTGAATGGCTTGCCAAAAGACAACATTGATCAAGCCGCAAGGCCTCTGGTATCCCAGCACCTTGTAGGCCCTCTTTAACATATGAAAGTTCCATTGAAACCTCCCTTCCCCTCACCCTCCCCCAACAATAAGGTACGTAACCTGCCCTCTCTCACAACCCGGGGCAGCAGCTCTTCCTGCCCACGGGTCCTGTCCCCGTGCTTTAATAAACCACCATTTTGCACCAAAGATGTCTCAAGAATTCTTTCTTGGTCATCGGCTCTGGACCTCAGCCCACCGAACCTCACCTAGATTCTAGAACTTCATCAACATGACTTTTGGAGCCAAGAGTCAGAATAGTACTTAAAGTTTATTTGTGGTTGCCATTTTCATAGCAGAAATAAACTTCAGAATGGTAGTCCTACTTAGTCTTATTTTACCTTTTCAGCAATTCTTGGGACCATCTTTTACAGATGAATAAATGAAAGTAAAAAGACATAAAATATTCAATTAAAGGGGTGACAGCAACTCAGTGACAAAATTACTTCACTGTGTGGAAAAAGCAGATAGTGCTAAAAGTATTATTAATAGTACCCTAAAAGACTAACGTTTACACAGGAAGTTAGAAAGCATATTTCCTTTTTTCTTATAAAGTTGGGATGTATTAGCAACACTTACTGTGCATTTATTCATTTAGAAAATATTGAAAATCTACCAGGTTACAAAACACAGATAGAGTTTCTAAACTCTGTCATGAAAGAATATCTTAGTAGCATTTGAATTGTCGTCTAGAAGGTGGATTGATTATGATAGTCTGAACTTTTAAGAATATTTTAAATGCCTCTTTTAAACAATTGACCCTACTTTTTTCATTAGAAGGATCCTTGAAATGGCTCCTTACCTCTGCCTGTGTTGCCTGTATTTAAAGGTGTCATAACTCTGGAATTTCTAGCACCGGACTTACTGATCATTCTCTATGTGAAATTCTCTCTGTTCTTGGTTATCCTGGTCACCATGGGATTCATCTACTTCAAGAGAGCAAATGTTTGCAGGTAGGAAAAAAAATAAAGATTTATCAGAAAGAAATCATCATCGTAAGGCTTTAAGTTTACAATGTCCTAGGAACAGCATGGTGCATTTTTTGTTTTGCACATGTTTGTTCCCCTAGCCCTTTCTTTGGTATATAATCTTTGTTAACACATGGAAGCCCAGGAAGAGATGCCTGCAGCACTGGGGCAAAAGCTTCTATTTCATTACAGTGCTTTCCTGAGAGAGAGCCTGTCCTGGGGTACTCTTCAAGAATTCTGTGGGGGAAATGAAGTTCAGCTGGTGCTTCTTAAGTGTTCACTCCCTAGTTTCTCTGTCTCTGAAGGCTTGTATTCATTGTGCTAATTATATATTTTATGTTTTTTTCATAGTGCATGAAAACTGAAAAATCTGTTAGTCAATTTAGATTTGATGAGACATCATGAAGATCAGACCTTGGGTTTAGCGTTTAACTCAACTGCTCCTGTTACTATTTGCTACCTTTGTGTTTATGTGAATCACTGTGATAGCTGTCAAATCCTGTTTCAAACTCTTAGCAAACATGTATTTATACATATGCCAAGGCTTGCTGCCTGCCATTATAAATGCCTGGGATGACTAATCTACATTCCCCTTTGCCTTACTGAGTTCTAATTTGCAAACAAGAAATAGCCCAGCTTCTTAGCCTAAAGAGGAAGATGGCTCAGGAAATGGCAAATTACAATGCTTTGCAGTTTTTCTACACCCCTTTGGGTTCTTTGGATAGTGCTTTCATCCTTGTTTCTTGTTTCCTCTTGTTTCCTCTGCCCTTTTAAGATGCTAAATAATGTTGCAATGTCAGAAGCTACTACAAACATTGCCTTCTGGTTGACCTGTAGCCAACCTCCCATCCCTTTCTTGCTTGCTAGCAATTAGTACATGTTTGGCCTGATTATTGAATAAATGGCCAGAAGTCATTTTTAGTAGTGCCTTTATTGCTGAAGGAATTTTAAGTGGATCCTAAATAAAGAGCTCTTAGAGTCATTGGAGACTATGCTGAATGTAACCTCACTTTTAGAACTCCACTGTCTCAATTCTCTCCCATCTGTACTCCAGGTTGGAATGGATTAATGGTAGGAAGGGTAAGAGTTCTTGGTGAAACCCCAACATCTAGGGCCACTGTAAACTAGAACCCTATCTTCATTGGTACACATGGTAATCCTAAAGTAAAAAGTATCCTTTTGTTTAAAGGAAAAATTTCTTGTGTAAGGTGGCAGGTGATTCAAGCAATTACTTTTATTTTTATCAAGTCTCAGAAGGAGAAAATGAATGCATACTACTATCTGGAAGATAATATATAAGTAAGATAGTCTAATTGTTGAAACAAACAACATCTCAATCTCAGTGTATTCATACCACGAAAGTTTAATTTTTGCTCACTTCATATCATAGTGATGAGGGAACAGGAGGCTGGCTGAGGACAAAGCAGAAGCTGGCACCTTGCACCCCATCTCCACCCGCTCCCCTCGGTAATATGTGTAACATTCCTCAGGCACCCCTGACTGCCATAAACGAGAAACAAATAGTTAACTTGCAGAGATCACAATCCTGCAAGACAGGAATCTCCCAACTATCTTGATGTTAATGGCTTGCTAAAAGACAACAGTGGTCTCCCGGCACCTTGTAGGCCCTCTTTAGCATATGAAAACTCAGTTGAAACCTCCCTTCCCCTCACCTTCCCCCAACCGCAGAGTACATAACCTGCCATCCCTCACAATCCGGGGCAGCAGCTCTTCCTGCCCACGGGTCCTGTCCCCGTGCTTTAATAAACCACCATTTTGCACCAAAGATGTCTCAAGAATTCTTTCTTGGTCATCGGCTCCGGACCTCAGCCCACCGAACCTCACCTAGGTTCTAGAACTTCATCAATAGGGCAGGTTGGTGGATCTAGGGGAGGGAACAGGAGTGGTTCTGCTCTAAGGTAGCACTTTATCCTATAACTCTGCCCTTCTCAGAGTGTTCTCCATTCAGCTGGTGAATGGGAAAAAGAGAGAATGAGGGATTTTATATAGGAGGTTTTTATGAGCAGGGCCTGGAGTAGTAAGGACATTTGCTCATTTTCTATTGGCTAGTATTTGTCACATGGCCACACTAACTTCTGTGGAAGTTGGAGAATGTAGTGGAGCTGCCTCAGCAGAAACAGTCAGGGTTTGGGTACAGATAGCTAGTAGATAGCTAGTTTCTGCCTATAGGAAAGGAAAGGACAAGTGTTAAGATTAATACCTACTTCATTAGTAACTGAACATGAGCCAAGAAATAAACTATTCTTTTTATAGCTTATATTAGCTTTCATTTATAGCTTATATTAGCTCTTTTCCCTCTCTTGCTCTCTCTTTTTTATTGTAACTCCTGCATGTTTAAAACAGGGCATAGAATGGAAAAAAGTCTAGTGCCATCGTTCCATTACAGACTCAAAAACACTGTGATACTGGTTGCTAGCTGCCTGAGCCAATGCTCATCTTCCCCTTTCTCTTAGTAGTAGAAGATTGCATTCTTGACTCCAGATCTTTCCGCCTCCCTCTATCCATGTAATTTGTCAGTAATTTTTGAGTTGGAAACATAAAGCAAGTACATGTTTCTCTAACTCATGTAATTTGCTTTAGCCAATCAAATGAGGCAGAAATGGCAGTGTACCGAGTTTTGAGCTTACATCTCAAGAAGTCCTGTGTATTTCTATTGCTAGTCCATGAGAATATGCCTGGGCTAGTCTGCTGGAGGTTGAGAAACATGTAGAGCAGAGCTGGGTCATCCTAGTCCCATTCGCCACTTCACTGTTGAGGTCAGCCTAGATAATGCAACAGTAAGTCCTCTCTTAAGCAAGGGAGAAACTCAAGGTCAGAAGAGCTGTCGACCTGACCCTCAGATGATCCTAGACATTAAGCAATTGTTGCTACAGAAGTTTTGTGATTGTTACACAGCATTATTGTGGTACTAGATCCCTGATACAATGCTTAATAACATGACTCCAGTTTTATTTTGTAAGGAGACACACTTAACTGTAAGACATTTCTCAGTTTCCATTGCAACTGAGTATGACTACACATTAAAATTTTCGCAAATAAGGTGTAAGCATGTAACTTGTGTGATATTTTTAGGATATCTCTTTAAAGATAAAGAAGAGATCCTCTTTTGCTTTTCCTCCTTATCTTCTGGACTACAACAGTGGTGTAATGACTGGAGGTCCAGCAGCCAACTTGAGCCATGGATGACATTGAGGATGGAAGCTACTCAATAAGATGATGGAAAAGAAAGAAGTTTCCTGGGTCCTAATACATGGACTTGCCATACTAACCCTAGAATACCTACCATAAGATTATTATTTTTTTTAAGATTTTATTTATTTATTTATTTGACAGACAGAGATCACAAGCTGGCAGAGAAAGAGAGAGAGAGAGAAGCAGGCTCCTTGCCAACCAGAGAGCCCAATATGGGGCTCAATCCTAGCACCCTGAGATCATGACCAGAGCTGAAGGCAGATGCTCAAGCCACTGAGCCACCCAGGCGCCCCTTACCATCTTTATGTGAGAGAAAATACTCTATTGTGTTCGTGCCACTGTTATTTTGAGTTTTACTCAATACAAAGTTGAACTTAATCCTGGTTAACACAAGTACTTACTTTGCCAATTTCAAAGTTTGCTACTAATCTTGCAACATATATTATACTCCATTCATGTGCATTTTTCATATTCTATTTTCATTCTTCCCATAGAGATTATGAAACAGATGTAACTTCAGAACATAATAATCATGGGTATAAGAGCTATCTCTGTGATAGTTCCAGAAAAATTGCTGGTTGTATAAAACTGAAGGATACTGTGGGCTTGTTATAGGGAAGGCTTGGGAATCTGGAAATGTGCAAAGATCATCTAATAGTCAACCAATCCCTACACATGTGAGGATATGTCTACATTATAGGATTGGGAAGATAAAGACACTGTTCTGGACTCTTAGAGAGGATCTGAACAGAAGAAACAGAGGAACTGAAATCTATAGGGCTTTATTATGTTAATCCTTTTTACTCTCCATTATTCCTGGAAGAGATTTATCTGAATTCATGCTTCTTCACTGCCATGAATTTCTGTGTGATATCAGACTGGAAGAGTAAAAAGCTATAGCTACTGTCTCTCAACCTCTTAGCCCCACATAAAGATAAAAAAAATAAAATTTTCTTTCCTAAATACATATATGCATACATATATACATGCACAACAAATTAATTGTGGTCCTAAACTGAGGAAAATTGGGAGCAACCTTTAGCAAAACACAATTGAGAACCACTAGATGGTGCTTCAACTTAATTCTTTCAACATTTCGAAGCAAGCTAAAATCTAGCCTCAGATAGTAATCCTGCATTTTTTCTTTAATTTTTCCATTCAACTGCTTCTACATTTATTAATTCTTTAGGTTTTCTTGGGTAATTTTAGGACAATTACAGAAGGAAGAAAACCATTGTTAAAATTAAAGAGAAAAAAAAAAAGTTTGGTTCCCAAACTTGAATTGTACTACTCCTGCCACTTAATTTTGGTAGAAATATTTTGTTTATCAAACAAGATAAGGATGGGTATTAATAGTCTAGTTTCAGGGAAAGAGGAAATGTGAGAATATCTTGGTGGTTAAACCAAGATCAGTACTCACTTATTTCTTAAATGGAGTGTTGAGTTCTTCAATCACTAAAGAACAAATAGCTGCTTGTTAGTGTTAACAGCAGCAGACGGTTTGAGCTACAAATAAAATTAGCTGGCCTTCTCTACTTCTTGGGTCCAACCCCATTTCTCATGGCCCAAGACTTTTAGAGGCCTATGTGGTATTTTAAAGCTGGAAGGAAGCTACAGATAAGTAGACCAACTTCCTCGTTTTACAAAAAAAGGAAACTAAGACATTCAGAGTTAACTGACTGTCGGGTGTCACTAAGAAGCCCTCTGAAGTGTGGACCTGCCTTGCTTGCTGATGAGAGCATTCACACAGTGAACTTTACAGTTTGTTTTGTTTGCAGTGAGAGTTGGGGTTCAAGAGGGAATTTATGGGGGTTTTCAAAAGGGTGACAAAATGAAATAACACATGAAATATCATGAGACTAATTATTATCTTCAAGGAAGGATTGGATATTCTCATTAAAAATTGAGCATCACCACATGTCAAGGATATCACATTTAAGCTTTCTTTTTTTTTTTTTTTTAAAGATTTATTTATTTATTTGAGAGAGGGGGAAGGAGGGAGAGAATCACCAGCAGACTCCTGGCCAAGCACAGAGCCAGACACAGGGGTCGATGACTCTGAGTCATGACCTGAGCTGAAAATCAAGTGTTGGACACTTAACCAATGAAGCCATATTTAAGGTGTCCCCACATTTAAGCTTTGAGAATACAATTGCAATGGAGAGATTTTAAAAATTGCTTGTTTAAATCTTACTTCAGTCCTTCCTACAATTTGGAAGCAGGAGGAGACAGAAGAGGAAATTTTGTCTGTTTAGTGAAACACACCAACAGATTAGAGAGGAAAGGTAAAGCTCAGGTCATAGAATGCATTGGGAATTCCAAAATACAGGGAACTAAAATGGTCAGCATAATTTTTTAAAAAAAGTGTTGCTTCTGGGCTTCAATGATGGGAATCTGGGGACTCTTAAGGAATCAGGTAAAAGAAATAGACTAGATCTTAGCTACAAAAAGAAAGTTGGGTGGTTGTAAATTCTCCATGACAGGGTAGCTAAAGAATTCTTGAATTAAGGATGCCTCTCTGTTGGCATTGAGTTAAAGTCTGTTATATACAACAGTCTTCATGTGATTAATGGTGATTTAGAAATGAAGGAAGAAGGAACCCTACCCACATCCTGGGTAAAACAGTACATGGAAGGCAGAAGCTGGCAGCTCAGGTAATGAGAAACCAAGGGTGATTAAGAAACTGATCTGGAATTTAAAGTTTATAGTAAGAGATAACAAGAAGCCAGCAAAGAAAGGCAGACCATGAAAACCTAGTACTGATGCTGTAATGGAGGTAGGTACACAGTGCAAGAGCAATCAAAGAAAGGAATACTCAATTCTGGCTGAAAGTGTGGGTTGAAGGTCAGGAAAAGCATTGGATGAATTAGGGAGCTTCTAGCTGCAATAAACAGAAAGTAGGGTTCTAACTGAATAAAACATTTATTATCTTACATGAGAAGGTATCCAGAAGGGGAGCCTGGATGGCTCAGTTGGTTAAGCATCTGCCTTTGGTTCAGGTCCTAATCTCAGTGTCCTGGCATTGAGCCCTGTGTCGGGCTCCCTGCTCAGTAGGGAGTCTGCTTCTCCCTCTCCCTCTGCCCCCTCCCTTGCTCATGCTCTCTCTCTCTTTCTCCCTCTCTCATTCTTTCTTTCTCAAATAAATAAAATTAAAAAGAAGAAGAAGAAGAAGAAGAAGAAGAAGAAGAAGAAGAAGAAGAAGAAGAAGAAGAAGAAGAA